ATGTTGTACCCTCCGTTTCCCTTGGCTCCAGAAGCTGTGAATGATCTGCAGTCCTCAGGAGGGGTTGGAAAGGATTAAATGGTTATAATCCCCACTCAGAGATTTATTGATATAATATAGAAAAATGGTAGCTGTGACATCCTTGTCTGGTGCTCTTAACTGCTACAACAGAGGAGAGAGAAAAAGTTCATTTCTACCTCCCATAAGAGCGATTTTTGGTCTCTTCTGACAGTAGTTATAGAAGTCTCTCATTTTCTTTATCTTCAGCAATCTCCTCCAGCCTTCATTTGGGCTGGAATTTATAAGAGCCTCTCAATCCCAGCCTAAGACAGTGTGAGGTGCTGATTGCTCTGGGACACAGTTTCAGCAGCACACACAATAAAGCTCCAACTGCCACTTTCTCCATTAAAAATAAGTTTCAGAACTACCCAAAGCGTGTGGGCAACTGTTAATGCTGTCAGATCCCACAGTAAGGAACTGAAACGTGCACTCAAGTCAGGCAGTGCCTGTTCCAAAGGACAGGCACCCTGTGATTAATGGAGGCCAGACTGGGCACAGCCACAGCCCTCCTGAGCACACGGACCTGCTGGCTCCTGGCAGAGCAAACGTCCTTCCTTTGGAATGAGCCTGGGCCCTGCTGGCTGTTGGGAGAAGGGAACCATGGTGGAATAACTCAACCGGAATCCTCTCCCACATGACACCAGAAAATAATCCACTGAGACGTGTCTATTTATATCTATATAAACATTAAAGGAAATCTCCACACTCTGAACTATAATAATTCAGGAAGGAGAGACATAAAACATAGTCGTTTAAACTGTAAATAAAATGTAATGTTTCCCATTCTGCACATTTAGAGATTCTGAAGATGGCATTGTAAAAATAACTGAAAAACTTCAGTTCATCATCAACTTCATCATTCCTCAAGCTACTAATTCAAAAATACTTTTCTTGCTCATGTGCTCTCTGAAGTGCCAAATAAATTTTACAAGCAAATGAATTCAGAAACAAATACGTTCAAATAAAATAAGTATTAAGTTAGTTCATATGCACATGTGACCTTTGAAAACAAATTCTTGTTAACACTCAAAATGAGCATTTTCTTATTTAGGTCTTCAGAACTTTGATGAAAACTGAAAGCCTGGGGTAGAGTTGTGAACAAAGATTTGTTACAGAAATACTTGAGTAGTTATCTGGAAAATTCCTTCATTTCCTTCTTTAAACTGGGACTACCATTTGTTGAAGGTACAGCCACAGCCCACCACCCGGACCACCAGTTCGGAGTAGCCAGACAGAATTCAGGTGACCCTGAGTTCTAAGAGACCTTTTTAAAAACATGCCTTTAAATGGCACAGGAATAAAAGGCAACGTTCCCTAAATAAGTTCCTGGCTCAGTTTTACGTCACTCAGCTGCTGTTCGGAGACACTTCGGGAGAACATATTTAGAACTTGGAAGAGAGCACAAAAGCCCAAAGAGCTTTGCAAACTCCCCATTTGGGAGTGAGCAGCAGAATTGGTATTTTCTTCCCTATTAACACCGGCCAGTATTTTACAAGAAAGGGTCAGAAATCAGGAGGTTGCCTCAGTGGCAGTCGCAGACAGGAGCATCTTATGGCTGATGAGGTGCTACAAGACCTGAACTATGCGTGACATTAGTTATTACATTTACGTTTCTAAGGAAATAAACAGCACACATTTTTCATTTTATGGCCTGTATATTGCAGAGCAGCAGCTGGGTTTGCAGTCTGATTTCCCCCCTCTCCCTGCACACTCAGAGCTCTGATCCCTGCAGATTCCCTGTGAGTGTGCCCGAAGTGGACAGCTTGCTGCAGCAGGAACAGCTCAGAGGCCACTCCCCAGAGACTTCTTCCCAGAGTCAGCCCTAACAGCTGTTCTGGGGGTGCAATCCAAAATCCCTTGAAAGCAGAGCTTTTTCACTGACTTCCACAAGTGCTTCAAAGATCCTGATTCTGAGCTGTATGTTACAGGAAAGAAGTTAATTTCTAGCATTGTTATAGGCAGTGATGTACTTTCTTGGCCAGGGCCCAAAGTACTCATTATAAAGTGTAACACCCTACTTAATTCTTCCACAAGCCAGTCATAAGGCTACTATGAATTTTAATGAGCATTGAATCAAGACCCAGATGGTTTTTTAAGCCAAATTATCCTGTTCTTGGTTATTTTAAGATCTGTGTAGAGCCTTCTGGCCACCGCACATATTAACTCCTCTATTCCTGGTCCAGATTAAGGAAGGACTTTCACACCTCTTCTCCCCATCTAAGCCCAGCTCTCCAGTTCTGCTATAAAGACCCTCAGCTCCTGCTGTGCCTTCTGAAGTCACAGATTTGAAAGAAAACTCCAAGGCTGACACAGGTGGGGGAAAAAAGGTTTCCAGAACAGATACCTGTGGCAGAAAGGAGAGTCAGAAGGCCAGAAGGGCATCACTAAGGTAGCCCTGACACCACAGACAGCCCAACTGAACCCATTCTCAGGGGAAAACCAATCAAGCTCAGAGACATCAAGTTGACACGATCCGTTCACAGTCACTGCCTCTGCTGAAGCTGCTGGATACATTTGCTATCTAGTTTGAAATGATATGTTTCATTTTAACAACTAAACCATCTTTCCCACACATGGTGTTTCACCTCTCCACAGCACAGCAGCAGGACACAGGCCTGGCCAGGGGATGCTGCTGCAGGGCCTCAGCTGGGGCTGCACCAGTGACCCCGCTCAGAGCTGGAGCGGGGCTGCACTCCCTGCTCAGGACCAGGCTGCTCCAAGCCCCAGCTGGCCTCGCTTGTGGGGCTTGTTCTTTTTGTATTCTGAGACTATTTCCCCGCCCCCGCCACCAGAACCTTGTCTGGTAAACAGATGGACATCACAGAAACGAGAAGCATGACATGGAAAGGGTAACCCAAACTGAAATGCAGCATTTATGCAAGCCAGCTATGGAGAAGAAATGCTGTTATGTCACTGAGTATTAGTCAGGAGTGCTTAATGAGTTTATGCTATTTAACCACCTCATCAAAACGGGCATCACAGCTTGAGGAATGCAGGCAGAGCTCCGAGATGATTTCACAACTAGAAATGAGGAGTGGGAGGGAAATAAGGAAGATCAAGATGGTTTAATGTCCTTTCTTGCCTCCACTTGCACGACACATGGCTCAGTTGTCCCAAGTCTGGCCTGAAGTACTTATTTTTAGTCCACTGCAAACACTCTGACTGAGCAGCAGGAGTGCAAGTGCCACACTGAACTTGCCATCATTCGCTACAGCAGCTCAGGAGCTCGACCTCCAGCTCTGGGCTGAGATTGCCAAGTCCAGCTCAGGAGCTCGACCTCCAGCTCTGGGCTGGGATTGCCAAGTCCAGCTCAGGAGCTCGACCTCCAGCTCTGGGCTGGGATTGCCAAGTCCAGCTCAGGAGCTCAGGCAGCCCAAGAGCCCCAAGCAGCTTGTGCTTTAACAGGCTTCGGTCCCTTTTGACTTGAACCACATTTGAACTTCTTAGCAGTGAAAAATCCTTCTACCCTGTTCCTATTCCTCTGAGCAATTGCACACAGGCCCCTCATTATTACATTAGTGTAATTTTGTCTCTGACATTCCCCCAAGAGGAATTACTCATGTCCTGCTATTATTTATTTTACTGCTAAGAGCCTGGGTTTTAGAAGTAGTTTTAATTAAATACCAACCCTCCTCCTCAATTAGGATCACCTTTATCTAGCTTGCTCTACTTTGCATTCTTCAGCAGCATCACTTGTTTCCTTCTGTTGATCCCTCTCTGGAGCTGCAGAAAGCCTCCCTCTCCCATGAAATCCTATCAGCCAAAACACAAGGTTTTACCCATGTAAAGAACCATTCCATGCCGAACACCGGTTATGCAGAATTCCAACCTAAAATGATGTCAAGTGACGCTGCCAAGAGCAACAGCACCTTCCATAGCCCCCCGGATCCCCAAGCTGCTGTGCTGTCCCATCCACCAGCCCACAGCGTGTGGCTCCTACTGTCCCTCTTGGGTTCCCCTGCTCCTCTGGGGCTTTGCTCACACTTTGCTCCCCTGCCCTCTGATGTTGTGGTTCTCTTGGGCAGTTTGAAGTGCAGCGTGTCCACCCACTGGGTAAACACCTCTTCAAAGCCTTAGCTGACCCTGGATCATGAATCAGATCACAATGTATTCCAGGCTTCAGTACACAGCATTCTTGGAAGCTGCTCTACATTAATGTTTCAAGAGTCATTCATTCATGCTCCCCGAGCGACAGAGGCAGAACAGATGACTCCTGCCTGGGAAGTTGGCAGGAATACCCTCAACTACTTCCACCCAGTGGAATCCAACTGCAGCACAGCATCCAAGCGCGTTGGCTGCTCCAGTGCCTGGCAGTGGCTGTGGAGCCAGCCCAGGGTTATGCAATGGCTGCGGGCACCCGCCCCTCCTGGCGCAGCCCCCTGGCTCCACATGGGCACAGGTGCCCTTCCCCAGGCAGCCTCACCCCTCCCAGAGCACAAATCTCCCTGAAGGCACCGCTCCAGTCCCCCCCAGCCTGGGGAAAGGAAGAGGCAGTAGCCAGAAAGCATTTTCATTTCACTCCTCACAGAGTCAACAAGGCTTTTTCCAAGAGTTTACAGACTACAGTTACTTCCCTAAACAGAAGGTGGATTTGCTTTTATGGGCACACATACTATTCCTTTCCCATGGGCAAAAGAGAAATGCATACAACTATCACATCCATCAGTGTGCAAAGGGAACATGTGGACACTCTGCCTTGCACTTCCAGGCTCAGCAAGTGCATTCTTCCAAGGCTCCAGCACCTCCACTGGACTTTCATCAAGGACTGTAATTTATCCCCCACAACCTAAGCACACAACTCTCAGTCTGGAGGGCTCCCAGCTAGGAGGAGTTTCAGTTTATGGTTTATACTGGGCAGGAGGAGATGATTACACAATTTTTATATGTTACCAGGTATTTTTCAGAGCCATCTCTGTACATTCAAGGTATTTTTTTCCTACCTTAAATAAGGTTTTTCCTGCAGCTGGGACAAGGACCTCTCCTCTGGTCTCTCCACAAATAGTTTTCAACAGCAATAAACTGGTTGTTCAGGTGCCATTCAGATAGATCCTTAAAAAACCTATCTCCTTTCTCTTGCTTTCACCAACATTTCTTCAAACCGTGCCAATTAAAAACCTTCCAGTTCAAGGCAGGAACCATCATTTTGCCTCCTACAGGACAACAAATACTCTGTAAATGTTTAAAACCACTAAATAAAATTAATAAACCATGAGCTGATGTCTATTTACTACATTTTACTTTCATTCACCTGCTGTTGTACAACGCCCATTATTCTGCTATTTAAATATATGGTTTAGAGGCACAGTCAGGCATTCATTCACCACTAGAACACAGGCAGGCACACGGCAGTGTTAAAAACATTCTCCCTCACCCCTTTCTTAAGGCTTCAGACCTCAGAAAATTAGTTCTTATTGGCCAATTTAAATTTTCAGCCTAAAAAGGGAGTGCCAGAGACAGATTTATTTCAGTTCTACAGCTTGGGGAGGTAACAAAAATGTAGAAATCGCCTCAGTTTTAGAGTTCAGAACAGTGGACCCTGTTGCCCCATCTACCTCCCACAAGAGCAGGCTTACCTTGAAAAAAAGATCCTGGAGAAATACTTCTGGAGTGAATTCAGTCCCTTCTTCCTTCTAACTGCAGGTTACTGCTTGTCTTAAACATGGGAAACATCCCTTGCTTCAGGCAAAAATTCTCAGCAATTTCATCTGAAAGCTTCTCCAGAAAGCTCCTCCTGCACATGCAAACCCCCAGCTCCAGCTGCGTCCTGCCCAGCACTGGCAGCGATCCCAGTGCCCCCCAGCCCTTGTCCTGGCAGGCAGCACAGGTGGCAGCACACTCAGGGAAGGTAAAACAGCCTCACAGTGATCCATTCCATTGAACTTCGCTCCAGCTGAGGAGATCTCACTGCAGACACATCCCCTGGCAGGATGCTGGGATGCAGTGAGTCAATGTTTTCTGGGACCTTTCTTGTCGTGGGCTGATGCTGTGAGCTCAGCAGAGAGGATGGCACAGTGCCTTGAGTGGCATTTTGCACAAAAGGCAAGAGCAAGATACTCATCAATATTTCGGTGTGTAAAGACTCCGTGCATTTCCCCTCAACCAAGCCTGGAAATCACAGGCTTGGCTTCACACTGGGATGGGGAGGGAGCTGCAGTAGCAGAGCCTCACACTGGGAGAGTCTGTGGTTCCAGGCTCCTGGGCCCTGCAAATGGCAGGCCATGACTGGCAGGTGCAGTGCTACCCCATCACAGAGTTCCTTCCCAGGGTGGGGAGTGTTGCCTTGCCCCTCTCTGGATGTCAGGACTCGGGGAACCTTGGACAAGTTACACAAGACCAACATGTGTCCCACTGTGTCACAAAAACACCAACTCTAATACAAGGCTGACACCTCTGCAGGCTAAATTTCAGCACCAGGTCTCCTGGCACCCTGCAGAAGGAAGGGAAACCATTCTAAGGCTTCAGACTTCATAGGTGTGTAAATGAGGACAGATTTATGAAGCTGATTGAAGCAGCTGGAACCATTACGTTCCTGCTCCTCAGTCCCAAGTGGAAACCAGCAGGACCCAATGCTGTAGTCAAGGCAGCGAGTGCAATGGCTTCCCCCACTGCAGCTGGGTCAGAAATCAAGTCAAGACCAGCAGGGCAGCCAGTGAGGCAATTAGGTGTTTTCCACAGGTATCTTGATAAAGAAGCCAGTTATTTACAGCTTTCTGGCATGTCAGTCACTTTAGTATTTCCTGAACAATTCAGAAAGGAGATGCACTTTTTTTTTTTTAAGATGGAGGTGTTTTATCCAGAGAACTCTTTTTTCTTGCTTTTGGAGTTGGCTTCCATTTCCCCCGTGGATAACCACAAGCACATTTTTGTGAACATTAGGTAACAAGAAAGCCTGCTGCTAATTCTTTCACATCAGGGCCTGGGGAAAAATGCAAACTGTCCGGTGAAGGCTAAAAAACAAACAGAAAAGATGGGAGGGGGAAGAGAACAGGAGTGAGAAAATAACTCAGGAGTGAGTCAACCATGCTCCTCCTGCTTAGTCACCTGTAGTGCTGCTCTCCAGACACACAGGAGATGGGGAATAAGATGCCTGCCTGCCTTCCACCTGCCTCCTCCTGACAGGGACTTACACAAAGAGGAGATGGGGCAGAGCTTTGGGAAACAGCCATTCCAGGGGACAGTTTTCCAGGGCAGCAGAGCTGGCAGGAACCTCCTCGCTGCTGTTTCCCACCCCCTCCTGTTGCCCCTGCACTATTTCTCAATTAACTCATCTCAATTCAACCTGTTCATGTGCTGGTTTGAGTTCCTCTGGCAGTGCCCTGCAGTTTTGCTATCAGAGGGGGTTGCCATGGAGAAGAGGGTGATGTCACTGACACAAAAAGCACCAAATTTACAAATACAACAGGAACGGAGCTATTTATAAAAAAGCTGCTTCTCTCCCCCCACTCTTGGCTGGGGTGGGTGGAGACAAAGGCAGCAGATCCATTCCTGATGTTTCTGTCAACAAGTCTCAGAAATTAATTTTCTTGCTAGAAAATATCCCCAGCCCATGAAAGTGCTGAATGCTGTCAGCTTTGGGACTTCATTCATTAGGGCTGGATTCAGCTTTCCAGCTCCTCACTGCTTCTGAGGGCAAATAACTGTGTCCGTGTAGTAACTTCTACCCCCAAAAAACTCTGCAGCACCACTGAGATACACCTGTGGGAGGACAGAGCCTGGCTTCTGGAAGGGCTCTGCAATAACTCCTGGGATCACAGAACATGCAGGGCTGGAGGGACCCCGAGGGGCAGAGTGCAGCTCCTGGGACTGGCTGCCTTGGCCCTGGCTATGGGGGGTGCCACTGCACATCAACACAACCCTCAGAGAAGGAAACATTTAGCACATATGAAAATTGCAAAACACAGAAGAGAGAAGAAATGGAGGATTACAAACTTAGACAGAAACAAAAATAATAATTTTAAAATGCTCTTGGAATAAAAGGGTGGTTTAAGACCAGGACAGGAAAGCTACCACAGACATCGAAGGAGTATTATTTATGTGTATGGCACCCAAACCAAACACGCAACCATCTATCACACCGAAATCTGACAGGAGAGTGACATCCCACAAGTTGGATGCTAAGAATTATTCACCAAGATACAGGTCAAGGCCCAAAATTCAGTGTAAAAGTTAAAAAACCCCTTAGGTTTTCAAAGAAAACAGCTTGGATCTTGGCAGCTGGTGGAACAGCTACACTCCAGCTTAAACAACAGCAGCAGGCAGAGCAATGGTTTCCCTGTTTTAGTCTCTGGATACTAATCAATACCAAACCTATTTTGGTGCCATATTACTGGTTGCATTGCACATTTCAACTTCCCAAAACCACCACTGTGGCAGGGAGAAGTTTCCAATCCCAAAGCAGGTGAGGAAAAGCAGCAACGAAGTGTAGTGTTACCTTGGTTTTATGAGCCATTTCTCCTCTGCAGAAGTGAAAAATTTATAAGTATGCATATGTGGGTAAGAAAATATACCTAAAAGTACAATACCAGTTTTATAAATGAGCAAACCCAAACTTCCATGACCTGTCCAGTCTCTCATGCAGAGCCAGGAGCAGTGGGCAGGGGAAGGTTTGTCCTCAGTCTGGAACCCTCTTTTGTCTCAGTAATACAAGTTTAACAAAACTACAAAAGCATTACAAGGGCTTTGCTAAAGCATCCACAGCTCAGCATCCAGCAGGTTGGCTTTTACTGTAATGAAATGGTAGGAAAAGTCAGGAGAAGCAGGGCTCTCATCTCTCCTTTTCAACATGGCCAACTACTCAAACAGCATTTCCTAACTTGCTGTCTCCCATTTCAAGAGGACCAGTGTGTAACTCTTTTTCATAAGCCTCATCCAATGCACCAGTGTGTTCCTCCTCACAAAGCAGTCGTTCTGCCTTTCCCACTCCACCCACACTGCTGAGCATCCTGTAGGAAAGGCTGGGGATGCATCAGGAAAGATCACCGTGGAAACCACAATAAAGTTTAAGACAGTGAAGAATGTGCCATACAGTGAAAGCCCACAGAAACTTAAGCTCGTAATTGAGAATGTTCTGATGTGTGGACATATGTATTGCTGACTTGGATAAAGGCCTCCTCAGCTCAGCTGAAAGGAAGGAAAACACCATTTTGGACTTGGTGCATGGAGCACATGTAGAGCAGAAATGAATGCTCAGAGATGCAGTGAAGGTGACTCCCATGTTCAGCTGTGTGGGAATTATGTGTTCAAAGAGCTGAGAATGGGATCATAGAGTGTTTTCTATTGTTGTCCAACTCCCCAAGTGAAAAACGTGCTTTTCCAGGACATAAGGAGGAATAATAACTTTTCTAATTGCATAAAAATGGACTTTTCCTGTTACACATTGCCCATGTTAAGCAAATCAGAGACTGCCTTCACAGCTGAGGGTAAGGTTTCTGGTTCAGGCTAGTCAGGACTTCTCCCAGCTGACACTTGTTTTACATCTTGATAAAAACCTGCTGCTTTTAGACAGGATCTAAGCCAGAGTTTCTAAGATAAAGACTGTGGCTCCAGTAAATCTGCATGAGGAAAAGCCGTCCCTAGTTCCCCTACAAACAGCAGGAGAAGGGGATGTGCCACTAAAACAAGGGGTGCCCTCTGCCATTGTTCTCTCAAAGGGTATCAGCAGGACTGGGCTGGGAACCAAGGGAACAGGCTCAGGAGAGGACAAGTTGCAGCCAGTTCAGTTCACAGAGAGGTAAAGCACCAACCCAGGCTGGCTCTTCAGGAGCAGCTGCAGATGGGGCAGAACAGCCCAGTGCCTTTGCTGGTTTTTGGACCAGATACTAAGGGAACACACCAACAAGCCACATTCACCGCTGAATTCTGCACTATTCCAACATTTTTCCCTACAAAATGATTCCTGAGTGAATGATTACATAGAGTACCACACTACATCAAAGTACATGACTAGTTTAGCTTCAAGGAACCACAGAGCTCGAGATCCTGAAAACTGAGGAGAATCCAAAGCACTGGGAAAACAACCATCAGCTCAGGCCTAGAACCTGAACAGTTGCCTTTGTGTCCCTCAGGTGCTGCTCTGCTTTGTAAATCACACTGTCACACCAGCTGGAGCCATGGGATCAATAATTAAATAGCTCTGGATAGTAATTATTACAAAAGGAGAGTAAGAAACAACCATTTATAGAACCAACAAAAGGAACGACATTTTTCCCCAGTCTTACTTAGTGACCTCAATATCCACATGTTGTTTAATAATTTAAAATGTTATGGAAATGAAACCTTCGTATTTCTAAGTTTCCAACCATGGCATTCTGATGGATTAACCAAGCAGAGGGGCAATGAGTGTAAAACACTAAGAACCCAGAGAATGAAGCTGATAAAGTGTCCTTTATCCAGCTTTAAGGGCAGTCTGTATAAGCACAGTTAATGTAAATGCAGTGCCCATAGCCCCAGGCTAAAGCAGAGACTCTAACCAGCAGTTCTGCAGCCCACAGCCAAATAACTCTCTTAGAATAAGAACTCTCATCTTCTGTACACAGGTTTCCTCAGGGGAAATCACCGGGCACAGCCTGGAGCACAGCACCTCAGGAGCTGCATTTCAGCCCCAGGTCATTTGGAATATTTATTAAGTGGGAAATCAGCAGCAGCACAGAGGAAAGGTTTAGAATTACTTGCTGATACACATGCAGGAGGGGTGATTTGTCTACTTTGAATAACAGAATCATTAAGGCTGGAAAAGACCTCTAAGAGCCCAACCAGCACTGCCAAGCCCACCACCAAACCACATCCCCAAGTGCCACCTCTATATAGCCTTTAAATCCTTCCAGGAATAGTGACTCAACCACTTCTTACTGAGGGTGCCCCAACACCCTTCATAGATTCTCCTCAGCCCTCCTTTTGTTGTTTGTCCTGTTGCTTTTATGTTTTTACTGCAGTACACAGGTTAAGCTTTAACTGGGCTTTGGCCCTTCTAGTTTTCTCCCTGCATAACCACACAAGATCCTTGTAGCCCTGCTGAGTTTCCTACCCCTTCTAGTTCATTCTGGAAAATCAAAAAGCCAAGTATTACCTGCTAGCACAAGCCCAAGCTTAATCTATATAACACAGACCTCAGGCTGGGAAAATCTCAGATAACTGCACTCAGAATATATCTGTTAAGTTTTATCAATTATGTCAGATTTAGGATTTTAAATCTAAAAATCACATACCTTTTGAGACCAGCAGATGACGAGTGCTCCTCAGCCTTCCTTGAGCTTCCTTACAACGATCTCTTCAGGGGTCAAGTGGGTCTCAGCTCACAATATATTTAACTATGTGCAGGTGCACCTTGGAAAGTCGTTAGGTTCTGTCCCACCATTGGTGGTTCCACTCCCTGGCACTCAGGGCTCACCTGGAGCACCTGTGTGTGGGCACTGAGTCCCCAGGAGCCCTGGAGACAGTGGAACCAACTTCTCCAACCCCAGCTGCAGCTCCAGAGCTTAAGGGCAGAAAATGGCTCACACCTGTGGGGTTTGCCTCACCCACAGCTCCATCAGCACCCATTTTTTTATAGGTAGCATATTTTTGCAGCTTAGTGACTTCCTGCCATTATTTCTAGACCCCTTTCCACTTAACACAATAGAGTGGACATTAACAGCTTGATTCTCTCACTGTTTCTGAATCAAAGCACTTCAAGACTGCAGAGATCTTCCAGACATCCCTGTTGTATCTCTGGTCAAGTTTTATTCTCAAACAACGTAGTACAACCATGATCTATTTCTTGGATTTACTTTCCTTAGTGCTCTTTTATTTATATAACAGTGTATTAAAACTTGCTAGAGCTCAGATTCCATCACCATACTGTTTTGTGATAACCTGACTAGGACTTGTACACCCTTCACACATTTCACCCTGCCAGCCACCCCCTGTGGCACTTCCTGTCATCCCAGGATCTGTAGTTGCCTCTTTTCCTTAGGCACTGCTAAGACAATTTTCATGTCCAAATATCTCATGGGCAAGGCTGGTCTCTCTCCTGTTTCGTGACAAGTCTGTGACAATCCCAGCCTGTGAGAGCATCTGCCTGTTACACAATGATTCAGAAGTGATGCTTAGGAAAAGCTTTGAAGGTTGGAGGCAGAGTTACTTGAACATACAGCAAGGATGTCAAAAGACCTCCCTGCCCTCCTGGTACGTGTTGGTGCAATGAGCTCGTGGGCTGGGGGAGCAGAGACTTACCTGTGTGGAAGAGAGGCAGAGTTTCACTGGAGTAGAACAGAACAACCAGCACAAGAGGTGACTGCTCTTTGTTATCCCTGCTCCTCCCTCTGGTATTTGTGTGTGTTTATTAAGGCCAGGGTTATAAACACTGCTGTGTTTATTTTACAGGACTTGGGGGCAGTTTTGTGTCGTCTGGGACATACATGAAGACTAACTGATCAGGGGCAGGCTTATTACACGGAGAAGGATTTAGCACGCTTTTTGTTC